TAGACTTTAGTCCTAGGTTCCCGAGTGTTTCCCACAAGATCAGCAGTGTCTTCAGAGGTGACTCCGTTCTGTGCGTCTTAAGCTTCCCTCAGGCTGTGAGTGCGGAGCAGTCACGGAACCAACGCAGAAGGCCTGGCGGCCTTTCCCTCCTGAGATGGCACGTTCCTGACAGCGCGGGGTGCAGGTCGTGGTGCCCCCGGGGCCTGGGCGTCCGCAGAGGAGGGAGTCCTTCCATGCCTCTGCCTGGCCTCCTCGGGGTAAGGGGACCCCTGGGCCGTTAGAGAGCAGACGGGGGTTTCGGGGAGGCGCTGAGTGAGTATTGACACGCAGAACCTGAGTTTTGGGGACGGTATGAGGAGGAGCTCGCACACTAGGGTGCGTCACCGAATTCCAAGCAAAGTAGAACTCGGCACAAGTGAGAGCTGGCGCCTGGATGTCCCATGGGCCGGTCCCCGGGGCCAGCCGTGCAGGGGACGGTGGGTCACTCAGCCTGGTCCGGGGTGACCCAGCCCAAAGGAGGAAGGAACACAGGGGCCTTCTTGTCCATCGTTTCCCTGACTCAGTGCCAGCAGCTCTGTGGGAGAGGCCCAAGCTGGTCTGAGTTTGATTGTTGGAAACTGACAGCTGCTCTGTTTCTCTGTAGTAGTGGCTTGGAGCTCTGTGTTCTGCCTCCTCTTGCTGAATGTCTCAAGTTTGAAAAAGGCAGCTCAGCGGCCTGGCGTCGTGGGCAGAAGCGCGGGGGCTGGAGAAGGCTCCCTTTGTGCGCTTCCTGCCCGCGTGGGAGGGAGCCTTGCCTGGCGCCTCGTCTCCCTGCCCGAGGCCTTTCCATGGAGGGCAGGCTGCCCTTGTCTTCAGCCTCCAGGATGTCCTTTGTCAAGTGCCTTCCCTCCGCAGGCCTTTCCACGTGGAGCCCACCAACATCGTCAGCGTGAGTGGCGTCCTGCAGCGGGTCAGCGACCACGCCTCGGCCATGAACAAGAGGATTCACTACTACAGCCGGCTCGCGGCCCCCGCGGACCAGGCGCTGGTAAGGCCGCCTTCCCCGCCTGGGCTGAGTCGGATGAACATGAGCAGCACCGGGCGGCTCCGGGGCTGGACTTCGCTGGGCACATTCCAAGGGCGGCGTCATGGAAAGTCCGATGGGTTCACTGGTATACGCCGCCCCTCCTGCTGGCTCCTTCCTGCGGGGCCTGGCACTCGAACAGCCTCTCCGTGTCGACAGCAGCGGGAGTTTGCTGTAGGGGAGGCTGCTCACCCCGTGCTGGGGGCCCATGGGCCATGGGCTGCTGACTCTCAATCTCCTAAGGTCCCTTTTGCTAGTTTAAGATCAAAAATACTTGTTTTAAGTGACTTGGTTGCCTATAAGAAGAGGCACATTTGAGATATTCAGAAACTTCAAAGCTTAGAGAAAAGCAGAGACTTTCTGGGAGAAAAGACGGTGCTTTTTTATAAGTAACTAGAGGCCCGGTGCACAAAAATTTGTGCACTCGGGGGGAGGGGAGGTCCCTCAGCCCGGACTGTGCCCTCTCCCAGTCTAGGACCCCTCGGGAGATAACGACCTGCTGGCTTAGGCCTGCTCCCGGGTGGCAGAGGGCAGGCCCAATCCCTAGGTGCAGCCCCTGGTCGGGCTCAGACCAGGGCCGATTGGGGAGTTGGGGCGCCTTCCCCTGTCATGCACAGAGCAGGGCAGATTGGGAGGTTGCGATGCCACCCTCAGTCACAGGGTAGGGCCGAATGGGGGGTTGGGGCACCGCCCCATCACACTCAAGGCAGGGTCGATAGGGAGGTTGCAGCGTCACCCCGCCACGCACAGAACAGGGCCCATCAGGGGTTTGGGGGTTCCTTACCCTATCACGCACAGAGCAGGGTCAATCGGGGGTTGGGGAGCGCCCCCCGTCACGCACAGAGTAGGGTCGATCAGGGGCTTGGGGACCTCCCCCCTGTCACTCACAGAGCCACAGGGCGATCAGGGGGTGGGGGAACTCCCCCGTATCAGGCATAGAGCAGGGCTGATCAGGAGGTTGGGGTGCCTTCCCCTGTCACGAACAGAGCAGGGCGGATAGGAAGGTTGTGGCCCGCCCCCTGTCACACACAGAGCCGCAGGGCGATCAGGGGGTTTGGCCATTGCCCCCTGTCACGCTGATCCCGGTGCTGGGAGGCATATTACCCTTTTACTATATAGGATAGAGGCCTGGTGCATGGGTGGGGGCCGGCTGGTTTGCCCTGAAGGGTGTCCTGGATCAGGCTGGGGGTCTCCACTGGGGGGCCTGGCCAGTCTGGGTGAGGGGCTGAGGGCTGAAGCTCCCAACTGCTCCTTTTTTTCTTTTTCTTTTTTATTCTGGGCCAGCTTTAATTGAAACAACGTATAACTCCAGCTCTGAGATTCTGGCTGGCTGAAAGCAGGTTTCTGGGGGTTTGTTTGGCTTCTATATTTGTTACAATGTTTCAAACTGCAGGCTCAGAGGCCGGCAAGGCAGGCGGGGAACGTTGGGTTCCTCTGTCCCTGAAGCAAGCAAGTCTCATGTTAGTTTCCACCTGCCTGGCTGCCGGCCACCATCTTGGCTGGCAGGTAATTTGCATATCTCGTTGATTAGCCAATGGGAAGGGTAGCGGTCATACACCAATCACCATGTTTCTCTTTTATTAGATAGGATAATAAAAGTGGAGGAGGGAGCAGCGTTCTCTAGACTTGCTGAGGGGCAGGGCTGGGCCAGTACTCACGTGCATAGCTCACTCTAAGCGTTGGAGGGATTAAGACCTTCTGAGTAGCCAAAGGAGGGGCTTCCAGAACATTCTGGAGGAGATGATTTCCCCAGCTTTTCACTTGTTCCTCCCCGAGGCCTTTCCATTCGTGGTGGCGATAAGTCATGGTTTCATACCAGGATTATGTCAGCCTCCGGGAGCAAGAAGCAGCTAGTGTCTTCAGATCTGGCCGGACGCCTCCAGGCTCTGCCTGTGGAGGCAGCCGTGGCAGCGCCGGGCCGGGCTGTGTGGTTTGCTGGAAACTGAGTGAGCACACACCCGGGGAGCCTGTGAACCGGCTGCGGGATGACTGGCGTGTCCAAGCACATGAACAGCTGGTCTAAAATTAGCCATTGATACAACCGTTTTCAATGAATGTGTTTATCCATCATCGTTTTTGAGAATCCCAGTTTCAGGACTGTTT